CAATGATTAGAAAATTTAGTACCTTTGAAATTTGAAATCCATAACCACAAAATTAATTTTTTCATCAGTTTTTTTCTCTGTTTACTTATATGAAATTGGGACCAGTTCACAGGTTAAACTTTAAACATTTAATTTGTGTAAATAAATCCAAAAGCACTTTCCTTAGTTAAGATATTTACAATTTGAAAACATAACCTAAAATTTAAAAGAAATGCACTAGATTCTGTCAAAAGTTCTGTCAAAAGTTGGCAGATTTTGTTTGAATTTACCTTCAGTACAAAAATGAAATAACCAACAATTAATAAAAACGCCAAATTGACAATTTGCATTGTTAATTTTGTCATTTTTGTAATTAAGCTAAATTTAAACAATGTTTGTTAACTTTTCTGAGAGATTTTGAAAAAACTGTTGTTACCAACCATAACATAATAAATCCACCAGATTAACCTAAAGATCCTAGTCGATCAGTGGCGTACTTTTTGGTAGGATAAAGGTTATTATAAATTATTTTTAGACTTTGGAATTTAGAAAAAAAAAGTTTCAGGTGCTTCTTTATGGACCCTAAGGAACAACCCATTTTAATACATAACATTAATTACATAACACCCTGTATACTTGCGGAATGGTGAGATGAACATATACTTGGACTAAGATGATTAATCTTTAATATAGAATAGCTTTTTTTCCGTGTATGACATTATCTTAATCTTAAATTGTGTATTTATGGGTGCATGTTTTTTGTGCATATTTTCGCTTATTTTTCCTAAAACAAATCAGAGCTCACCACGTGGGGGTGCAAATCTAGTTCCACCCCCTTCCCGCCCTATATAGTACCAACAATCACCTTAGTATAAGTTAACTTGAAGATATTGGTCTTTGTTTCAAATTTGGGCATAATTTGTACTCAATTTTTGCAAATCAAGCACAAACAGGTTAACCTTTATTTTCTTTAAATTAACCACCTGTGAGTTCTTAGAAGTTTTCAATGGGTCCACTAGTTTTTTTTATCCAAATGCCGCATTGGGTAGAGCAAAGGAGCAAACCATTGCAACGCATCCAAGAGCTCATAATTTCGACAAATCTACATTTTTGCTCAAGACCATAACCGATCTACTTTAGATCTACAATGAACACACAACCAATCTTACATGGAATCACCCAGTAATTACGAGAAACAGTATTTTATTAAAAAAAAATGAATTGAAAATAAAAAGCACCTTATCCTAATCAATTTTATTACAAAGAAAAGGAAAAAAAATATTAAAACAAATTTGAATTTCTCTGAGAATAAACTTTAAGATAAATTATAATTTAAGAAGAAATAATAGGTTTTGGTTTATTAAATAATCAGTATTGCCACCTTGAGCATAAATGCAAGCACCACCGTTGATAAGCAGAGTTGTTAAAAACTGTTGGGACTGTTTTAGAGTGGCCTTCTTGTTCACCGGATCTTAATCCAATTAAGAAATTAAGGTTAAAACAAGGATAAGATCCCGTTAAAACAACCTGGCAACGCAAGGCAACTAGTAGAAGTAGTTTTAGAGGGGTGGGAAAATAAATAAATAACTTAATAAAATGCTTAGTCGAATTTGTACTTGCATTGAGGCTAGAGGTGGAACCACTGATTATTAAATTAACAAAAACGTAATATTTCTTCCTAAATTCTAATTTATTGTAAAGTTTATTCTCAGGAAAATACACATTTTTTGTAATCTGTTCTCTAGAATCTGTTCTCTAGAAAATTAGTTCTTTTTCTTAAGTGAAATATTGTTTCTCATAATTACTTGGTGATTCCATATACATAACTTATTGTTTGACTATACCTAGTTAAGTTGAAATTCTTAAGACAGTTGTATAATAGTTATTTACGATATAAGTGGGATAAGAGCTTTATTAACGTACGCATGCGAAATTTATGCAAAAGTACGTTAATAAAGAGTTATCACACGTATATTGTACAAATTTTTATCTACGCCTCCAAATGAAAAAATAAACGGTAATTATTTTTGTCTAAGACCTAATTTAGGGTTATTTTGACATTTTGACATTTTGACTTTTTTATTTGATTGGTTAAAAGCAGAGAAAAACGCGAGCGTTAATGAACTTCTTATCTCACTCAAAATGAGTGGGATAAGAAGTTCTTATCTCACTGGCGTAGATAAAGTTTTTAATAGTTCTGTCCAGCTAAATTGATATTTTTCAAACATGACAGGATTTAAATATGTAAAAACAAACTTTCGAGTTAAAATGTACAAAAACATCTTTTGTTACTGTGCGATTTGTTCTTAAGCCTTCCATTCTGAATTTGATTTATATGGACTAGAACACGTTCGCGTTCTGCAAAAATGCAAAAATCAAAATGAATTGTAGTCATACGAAATGAATTATGACGTTGATCGAATATCTTCTTTGTTTCAAAATCGAGTTTTTTTTAACAAATTCATGATTTTAAAGAACTTAAAAATATTTTTTATGAAACCTTCATGTATCCAAGGTCGTTAAACCTATTTAATAAAATTTAATTAAATAAAATTAAATACTTGACACGCTAATGTTAGAAATAAAGATATAGCGATGGAGGATCTGGCAACATCAATAGCAACAACAACAGAACACGTAGTGAAAAAAACAGTTAATGAGGGGATCTTCAAGCAGCGCGTGTGGTCTTTAATAATCGTAATAACGCGAGAGTGGAGCGATGGCGGCCCTTTGTCCGTGGATTTTTCGGGGGCGGGGCCCAGCAACACCGCGTTCCGTCCGACACGGACATCAACAGGATCATCTCGGATCAAGTGCTACCAACCGAATTCCTAAAGAATTAAAATCTATGAATAAATCATAGAAAAGTGTTGGGATGAATAGTTATCCACGTAATACAAACTTGGCCATAAAATAACATTATTGGGATTCTTAAAATAAATGTAAACAAAAAAATGTTGAGGTGTTGGGTATTATACAATCCACACAACAAAGTCTCATGCTTAAAATACAAAAAATTACTGCAACAATGCACAGAGTTTAACAGCGGCCATTTTTATTGTTTACAATTCTTGTGCTTTGGGTTTGTGCTATTTAATAATTGTTTTAAACGTTGTGTTTCTTACAGAGGCACTTGTAAGCCTCAAATAATACCAATTAGTGCAAAGGGCAACCATTTTACAACTCTTTTATAAAAAATATACCTTATTCTATCAGGGCTGTCAAATGTCAATTTGAGGTTAATTTGTGGGTTATAAATTAACCTTAAAATTGATAGAATAGGGTGTATTTTTTACAAAAAAAAGTAAAATGGTTGATCTTGGTACTTTAAGGCCTCTTTTAAGGCTTACTAGTGCCTGTGTAAAAAACACAACGTTTAAAACGATTATTAATCTGTATAAACAAAGCACAAAAATTGTAAACAACAAAAATGGCCTCCGTTAAACTCTGTGCAGTGTTGCAGTGATTTTTATTATTTTTAGTACGAGATAGAACATACCTACCTTGTTGTGTGGATTGTGGGGTATTAATTAAAATATCACCAAAACGAATTTTAACAAACTAAAAGATGACCAAATTTTGACAGAATTAAAAAATGTGCCTTTTTTGCCCTAAACAATTCCTTGAACAAGTCGATTTTGCTTTTTAATTCCGCACATTTTGATGGAAAATGTTCATATTTGCCACCATTTTTGTAAGAGTTATGACGTCATCACCCGTTTTTTTAAATTCTACCCCCTTTTTTGCAGATTCGTATAGATTATGAAATTCTGAATTCAGCAATATACACATTTTGGAATGATAGTTTTGGGTATTATTATATTTAAAAGTTCATGATTTAAAAATTTGTATTTTCAAAGAAATCGTCTGCCAATCCACCTCTCAGGTAATCAGTATTCAGTTTTCTATGTAATGTAAAAAAGAAATTAAAATGGATTTTGCGACAACATGCCCCGGTCTCTCCTACTTTTTGACGGTTGACCATTTAAACAGAAGATACCTTTGTCCGGAAAAAATATATTACGAGGTGTGGATTATTGTAACATAAATTCATCATCATCATAGTTTCACAAAATTGTAGTCTACCGTCCGGATCATCTTCGTTATGATCCTGCACTACTCTAATTTTGTATGAATGGTACTTTTCTTTCTTCATAAGACGTAATACTGAGCGTTGACTGACTTGACTTTCAGCTGCGACTATGCTAGAAGCACTGTAAGGATTTTCTTCCAAATGTAACAAAATGTCAATTTTAGTGTCTTCACTAATACTCGGACGGAATATCTTTGACATGTCCATCTCTCTGAATTTCCGTTCAATTTTACTATTAGTAAATTACTAACCGTAGCACGAGTAATAGGGCGAGCATAAAATAAAATGCAAAGTTTACAATGCAAACTTTCTTGTTGTGTTTCAGTTTTATTGCCACATCCTATAAGAATTAAAACAATTATTTGTGTTTCCGTTAATTGGCCCATATTTAAATACTCCGAAATATTTGGAGAACGCTTAAGAAACAGATACTTTACTGAACGCTCAACTAAAAGTTTTTACATCTAGTAGTAAATATTTGTTTAAAATTATATGCTAACAAAGAAATATAAAATAAGAAACTTCCATATATCGATACTTTGTAGAATTACAAACAATATCAATAAACTAAAAAAGTTTGACCTTGAAGTGAAATATTTTGAGAAAGTTTATGAACATTTCTTCTATAAACACTTTTTAATTTTATCAAAACCCCATTAAAAAGCATTTTAATAAAAACATTAAAACATTATTAAAAACCATAAATTTTCCATAATAATTAATATCTCCGAAACTATTAGCTCAAAAGGTATAAATGTGCATATTGCTGAAAAAGAAAAATATGAAAAGTGTACATCAAAATGTGCCTAGGTAACTGAAAAACAAACTCCACCTGTTCAAAGATTTTTTTGAGAAAAAAAGGCGAATTTTTCAATGAATTTGTTCCATACTTTTGCCGCTCACTGTACAAAAACATTTACTCTCTTACCATTCTTCCAACTTGATTATTGTGCAAATTAATTCTGGAATGTATATCCTCAGCAGTCTCTCTGGAATCCAAAAACATCTTTGAAAACCTGACCCCATATTTCAGATTGTGGGAGCAACCATCCCATTTCCAAGACGATTTACTGGGCTTGCCGGTAAGATCCCTGGGTTTTCTTTTTTTGTACGCTTTCGAATCGCAACCGCAGTTCATCAAAGTCCCTGCGCTGCAGCTGCGCGCCACCGATATGGCCACCCCTGCCGAAGCTATTGCATAGGCGAAAGCGGTCTCTTTGTAGCCTGAAACAGAAAAAACTGATAAAATTAAAATTAATATTTAAACATGTTTTTAATTTTTCCTATTCTAATAAACTTATACCGTGTATACAGGGTGTCACCAAATAAGTTGTCATCCATGATAGTACACGCCAAAATAAGAAAGTTTTTCCTCTATCATTTTTTAATAAAATAATAAGTAATGTAGAAATTTTGGGCCGCCACTGGTTGTTTCTGACCTATGACAACTGAAGCAAAATATGCTTGCACAGTGGGCAATAATCTACATTCAAAAATTACATTTGTGTTATCATTGATTACTTTGTTGATCATAATAATTGTTTTTAGTTTTGCATACTCAGCTATTTTTTGGTACTTTGAATAAAACAATACTTACTTTTTATTGTTAGGTATATCGAGGTTTCCGTGGTTTTCCCGTCGATTTTAAATTTTACCTTTCACTTTTTACGTCGATTTAAGCTCATGTAGCTATTTTTTTAAGTGTTCCACAAAATGATAATAAATGTTCAACTATTCCGCCGTTGTTATCCATACAAAGTTGACAGCGGCGTAGAAAATTATTAATTGTCGCTCTTGCTATCATATCCGGATGATTTCGGATTTCATCTGCCGCTGCAGTGACAAGTCCGCGGAGAAACCACAATAACAATCGAAATGTCAGTAATCAATTATAACAAAGTTCCTACTAACCGATTTTGAATAAGCTTAAAAGTTTGCTTGATGTTACATAATACACTGTGCGCATGCCTGTTTCTTTTTTGCTTGGATGCATCGATTCATGAATAATATTATTGTTTTTAGAGGCAAAAACAATGATTATATATAGGATAGGTCAGTGACATCCAGTGGCTCACTGGTTTTGTCAAAAAATATTTATAATTTTTTTATTGAAAAACAGTAGCTGTAATGAAAAAATTATGGAGGAATTTTTTTTTGTTTTGACCTGTACTGTCATCCCTCAAAAGGATAACAATTTATTAGGTGATACCCTGTATAATAGCTTCTGGATGGGTATAGGTAACTTGATTTTCAAGACGGAGAAAACTTTTTCTCCAACAATTAGTTCATGGGTAATCATTGCCTTCTCCTTTGTTACATACGAATGAGCGTCTGCGAGTGGAAAAAACCGTAAAAAAATGATGTAGTCTTGTAGTAAATATAGGCATGCAACACACGGCTAAGTATCTTTAAATCACGGTGGAAACGTTAATGCGCAATTCGTAGTCCTGTGACATTGGTAAGTCACAACCATACGTGGTGCCTCTGTTCGTAGGTTTTTTGTCGCAATCGGCCAATGGCGTGACGAGTAAATAAATAGGATCTAAATTACAAACCTACATTTTCGAATATTACAAGATGCCATATACGAGGCGGTCTTTAAAACGAACGATAACATTTAAATCCAAACGCGGCACAGTGATTCGAGGAATTTTTCACTATGGATTGGAACCAACGTGTGTTATAACTAATGGGTTTCAGATAGACTCTTTTGGTTGTTTATGCTATGATGTTCCTTATATTATGTTTTTTTTATTTCATAGATTTACTACTTAACAGTAGTTTAAAATCAAGTGCTATGACTTCTAATATAATTTATTGGTTTTTATATTAAAATACAATGGTGGCTTGTTTAGCATTGGGTCTTAAAAGTTAAATATGAGTATTCCCACATCTATGAGGCATGCTTTCTATTAAGTTATGAATTTCTTTTTGGAAAATATTTCTCACCCCTCTAAAAAAGAGCTTTTATTAGTTTTTCTGCATTGCCAGGGCTATTTTAAAGAGCTAAAATCCTTATTTTAACCTTATACCACAAGGTCTCAATTCTAAATCAGTCACACATTCCACTTCCAAACAATTTTTGGCAACTCTGCTAATAAATGAAGGTGAATTATCCTGTATAAAAACACGGAAAGCACCTTTTCAGAGTCTTACTACAGATTGCAGAACCAAATCCACATACCTTGGACCTCTTAGGGATTGTCTAATGAAAATAAAAGGAAAGTTTTCACCAATCATAAAGCCACCCCAAAACATTACACTTCCTCCTTTGTCTTAAGGGATCGATCTTCCAGCTCAGTCTAGCTTGTCTCCCACGACCTCTTAAAACGAGTTCTCCGATCGTCTAATTAGACCAATTCTGGATTTATCCTAAAATAAGACATCTCTCTAATCTTTAATTTTTCTGATTTTATCTCTAAACCTTTCGCGGTTATTTTCTTTAGAAGTAAAAAGGTTTCCGGGTTTTAAGCCGCGTATCACTGTAATTCGGTTTGACGTTTCGACAGCCATGTTGCTGTCTTCTTCAGAAAACTGAAACTTTACTTCTTTAATTTTCCAGTTTTATTGCTTCAAATACCAATTTATATGGCCAACTTTATTTTGCACTAATATTTTTAGAACCCTTAACTGTGTTCTGCGATTTTTTTATTTATGCCAGATGCTTCTGTTTTGGTTTATTAAATAATCAGTATTGCCACCTCTAGCATAAATGCAAGCCACCGTTGATAAGCAGAGTTGTTAAAAACTGTTAAGAAATTAAGGGGATAAGGTTAAAACAAGGATTAGATTTACAAAAACCTTTTATTTCTTCCTAAATTATAATTTATTGTAGAGTTTATTCTAGTTTATTTAGAAATTCACATTTTTTGTAATCTGTTCTTTTTAAATTTGTTTTAATAAATCTTGTAATTAAATTGGTTAAGACAAAGTGCTTTTTATTTCCAAATCACTTTTTTAAATGGAATAATGTTTCTTGTAATTACTGGTTTGTATTACCAAATGATTTACGTCCCATATTTTGTTAACTGATGAAGCGAATCCTTTAGGAGATGGATTTTTTAATCAACACAATAACCACTGTTATCCGCATATGAAGGTCTGGGTACTGAGCTTAGGACCAGTCATATGACAGGTTAACAATTTTCTTAAATTCTTAACAAACGAATTGCAGGAAAGTCTAGACGATCTTTCCCTTGCGGCAACCCAGAACATGTGGATCCAATTAGACGGAACCCTAGCTCACTTCGATTTCCAAGTAAGATCATGGCCACCAAGAACCCCAGATCTTACCCCGCTCGATTTTTTTGTGGGTTCAATTCTTTATAGAAACCCAAATCATATAAGCTTAAGAAGTACAATACCAGATACCAGCAGATATCTTGTAAAAACGTCATTTTCTTTTAACACTTTCAACAACTGTGCGCTTTTCTTCTTGCCTGTTACTTTTCAACGACGATTTTATGTCTGACGTCCGCAACCGACCACCATCGCTGATTATCTAATGCCGCCTCGAATGGTTTGATAGGTATAGGTAATTGTCGGCGGATGCTTTTCCTTAAACACCATTCCGATATAAATTAAAGGACATCGCACAGGACGAATGTCACAAGGCCGTGATTTCTTTTCCTCGAACACGTCAAACAAAACGCTTTGACGGTTTCGAGATCCAAACATCATCGAATACGTGATGATGTTTGGTTTTTGTGAAGAAATGTTCTTAGAAATAGATTTGTTGCGAAAATTACCTACCGCAAAAATAAATAGTAGGTAACATTTTCTTTTTTTTTAATGTTTAGAAAAAACTTCACAAAAGTAGTTTAAAGAAGTAAAGAGTACACTGTTACAAAAATCAGATTTGTTAACATGAGTTTGTAGTTTGTTAATTTTTTTTGTAAAATTTTAACAACATTTTTTGTAGAAAATCAGGGTTTGTAATTATTTTAATAGGGGAAAATTTCCCATTTCCCACTGACAATACGCATCAACAAGTTAAACTGACTTCAGCGTCTGCAACTTATGTTTCTGCTTACTTTATTCTAATTTGTAACATGTCCGTCACAACTGTCCAGAGTGTTTATAATATATTACCAGAAATCTGTTGTTATTGTTATTCGGATTCCTTATACCTATTTAACAAGTGTGTGATGTGCGAAGTATCCGAAGAAAAAAGATGCCATCACTGGTTTTCAAACTGTAATTAGGGGATACAGTGAAGTGGGTTAAAGTTACGAAATACATCAGTGAGTGTTGTAGTAGTACTGCTAATTATACTGTACCAAATTTCTTTATAATTTGATGATTTCAGAATGGTTTGTTATTTAATTGTGTGTATGTTATTTTTGTGTTCATTTATGTAGGTATGTGTTATTTTTTTTGTTTAGAAAATTGATAAATGAGACAACATTTCACAATAGGCAAAACTATGTAAACTTATTAATATAAACATTGATAAAGATGCTATTGTGTCCACTGATAGTGTAAAATGTTTGGGTTTATGCATAGACGAAAACTTAAATTTTAATCTTCACTGTCAAAGTATTATTGACAACTTGCACAGAATGGCCTATTTATTTATTAATCTTAGAAAGGTACTCACTATTTCTCAATTAATAAATTTATATTATGCCCATATTGAACCAAGACTAAGATACTGCATTTGTTTTTAAGTATAGCCGGTAAATTTAATATTTTGACTTTGTCTAGTCTGTATGTTTTGTAGTTGTCTGTTATTGTTTATAAAAATAAATCAAAATTTAATCTGGACAGCAATGTAAATAATTTTAATACAATAAATCACAAACCATTTTAAAAAAAAATTAAAGCAGTACTTATTGTCTGTGTATCTGAATTTTTAAACTAGTAATTTGAATTACATATATATTTTTTAAGTTGTCTTTTATTGTGCTATTAACCGACCATTCCTATACAAATACTGTCTGTAAAATTGGGAAAAGATTATTATTATTATTATAAAAATTCATTTTATTTAAGTTCCCAATTTTCAACAAATATTTTTGATACTGGGTCTACAAAAAGGTTTGTAAAAATCCTTTTTTGAAAATAAGCAAAATTATGGTTGAATTATTGATATAGGATTTTGTTATTAATAATACAATAATAATAATAATAATAGTAATAATAATAATAATAGTAATAATAATACCCGTACCTGTTTCCATGACACTAAGTGACCTTTTAAATACACATTGACAAGTTGTGGC